CATAATTGTTTATATATATATATATATATATATATATATTTAGGACAGCACCTTGTTTTAGGCACTGCATCATGACACATGAATCGTAGTAAAAGTGCAAAATGTTTTATTTATTTTAATTATTTCTTTTTTTTTTAAATGAATATCAATTGCCAAAATAATGTTTATATAATAGTAAAAACACTATACAACTATAAAAATCCCAGAGTGCTTTAGCATTTTCTGGAGAGGCTTGAATATGAGACATACAAATACTTTGGCATTGTTTTCATTGTATTGTATTTATTGACAGTTTTATTATTTTATTTGTATTTCTTTATTTTGTTCTTTTGACAGAGATTTCATTGCATTGCTATACAATTGCTAAGGTGTTCTGTGTGATTTGAATGTGTTGCTATGCAGTTGCTAAGGTGTTCTGTGTTGTTTTAATGTGTTGCTATGCGGTTGCTAAAGTGTTCTAAGTGATTTAGTGTGTTGCTATGTGGTTTCTAAGGTATTCTGAGTGATATTAATGTATTGCCATGCAGTTGCTAAGGTGTTGTGAGTGATTTTACTATGAGGTTACTAGAAGTTGTCTTCCATAGCTAATTGTGTTAAGCTGATGATAAGCTGTAAGCTGATTTTTTTATATCCTTATGAAGACAGTACTTTTCAAACAAAACATTGAAAAGTCTGTATTTCATTTTTGTTGTTTTATTTGAGTCCTAAATTTCCCACTCAAACCCCTTAAATCAATTTGTCTCCAAGCCTCAATAGCACAAAACCCACAGTGAGACTTAACGGTGTATTTCTGGAGCATTTGCATTCCACTGAAGTGCGTGTCTTTCTTTCAGAGCGCCACGGCGGGTTTGAAAGTGATTCAGATGAGTGTGTGGAAAGTGGCGGAATGGCTAAGTGACAGCGCTAGGCGAACACACCTCTCATGCCTTAAGCTGGAATCAAAGGAGCAGAGGAGACGGCTCAGTGCTGTTGTGAGGGGCTTTTTGTCTCACATCAACCCATTCAGACACATGCTGAGGTGAAACTACATGCTCATGCATGAGGGGAGGATGACTCTTGAGGCTCAACGTGACAGAAGATGCATGGGGTCCGCCCACCATGCTATTATTTTCGTCCTTTATTTCTATACAATTGCTAAGGTGTTCTGTGTGATTTGAATGTGTTGCTATGCAGTTGCTAAGGTGTTCTGTGTTGTTTTAATGTGTTGCTATGCGGTTGCTAAAGTGTTCTAAGTGATTTAGTGTGTTGCTATGTGGTTTCTAAGGTATTCTGAGTGATATTAATGTATTGCCATGCAGTTGCTAAGGTGTTGTGAGTGATTTTACTATGAGGTTACTAGAAGTTGTCTTCCATAGCTAATTGTGTTAAGCTGATGATAAGCTGTAAGCTGATTTTTTTATATCCTTATGAAGACAGTACTTTTCAAACAAAACATTGAAAAGTCTGTATTTCATTTTTGTTGTTTTATTTGAGTCCTAAATTTCCCACTCAAACCCCTTAAATCAATTTGTCTCCAAGCCTCAATAGCACAAAACCCACAGTGAGACTTAACGGTGTATTTCTGGAGCATTTGCATTCCACTGAAGTGCGTGTCTTTCTTTCAGAGCGCCGCGGCGGGTTTGAAAGTTATTCAGATGAGTGTGTGGAAAGTGGCGGAATGGCTAAGTGACAGCGCTAGGCGAACACACCTCTCATGCCTTAAGCTGGAATCAAAGGAGCAGAGGAGACGGCTCAGTGCTGTTGTGAGGGGCTTTTTGTCTCACATCAACCCATTCAGACACATGCTGAGGTGAAACTACATGCTCATGCATGAGGGGAGGATGACTCTTGAGGCTCAACGTGACAGAAGATGCATGGGGTCCCCCCACCATGCTATTATTTTCGTCCTTTATTTCTATACTTTTAATCTGACTGTCTTACAGGACAGGTACTAACAGGTCCCATGGCACTTTGATATTAGCTGCTGTACTGAAGGATAGCATATATAAAATAGTATTTACATGGTACTCCAATTGTGTGCTTCAAGGAATACCATAGTATTGTCTTGGTGCTGTCAGATTTCAATCAAATTATAATAAAATAAGTATGCTAATAAAGTTATTTTATGGTTTAGTGGGACTATAATGTGATGACAAAAAGTAAACAGTTTAGGTTTTATAATCATAAGAATTTGCAATAATAGCTGCTCAGAATTACATATTAATTTTGATAGCAACATTAATGTCAATATCACATATGGTATTACTATGGCTACTACTACTACTAACTAACTACTACTACTACTACTAATAATAATAATAATTATTATGTTATTAAATGTAATATGATACAGATATTATTTTACATTTACATTTAGTAATTTAGCAGATGCTTTTATCCCATTTTTTATCAAATTGTATATATCATGTGTGTTGCTTTATTTTATATTAATAATAATGATCATAATATCAATACCAACAATTATAGTAAAAATAATAAACTTATAATAAACTAATAAAACATATTAACAATAGTATGATGATGATGATGATGATAATATTAATAATAATAATATTAATAGGCTTTACTATACTCAAAATTCCATAACGATTTTTTTTATTGCCTGAAAACAAAGTCGATTGTCTAAGCCCACTGCGGATTTTCCTATTCATTCATACATTCTTCCTCACTGTTTGAATACTTTACTTTTTATGTGTCCTTCTCAAGGTGATTCTCAACAGGACGGGCTGATTTTACCATTGGTGTAAAACGAATTCACCCATAAAGAATTGTAATATTTCATGTCATTTGTCAGCAGTGCTTTCTGTGCACTAGTGCGTCTTATCTGCGGCCCATCGCAGCACACTATCCATTCTGCCCCACATAAACCCCAATCTGTCTCTCAGCCTGGAGTCCTATCACTTTTTAGTGTGGCTTGAGTTATTCATCCCATTTCAGGCCCTTGTGGGTTTTTCAGGGATTTTTATGCCTCTTTCTTTGTTGTGCTGATAAATGTAGTTGGTTCATGTAAGGCCTTCCTCATCAAGCCAGCAACAAAGCTTAAATCGCCTTTGCACTGAAAAATTGGAAATGAATCCAAAAAAAAAAAAAAAAAATGACACCCACTCACTGCAAACAGCCGTCTCTCATTCTTTATCCTTTTTTGTCTTTATAGCTACACTCTTCGAGTGGTTGGCAATGGGATTAAAGCCCAGGCTGAAAACCCAGAAGTCAAAGTGAAGGAGGCCGACCCAGTGATCAGTCAAGTCATTGATAAACTGAAGCACATCAATCAGGTGAGTCTGGCCAAGAATAAATACAGTCAAATGAAACAATGTAACATGTTGCTTGATGTCCTACAAAATCATGTTTCATGAGTTGCTGTGTTTTCATGCCAACAGATCAGAGTAGATCTGATTAGCTGTGCTCATGGATGTGTGAAATGATACGTTGTGTATAAAATGTGTTAACGTTTTTTTTTTGTTGTTGTTGTTGTTGTTGTTTTTTTTTTGCTGTTGCGAATAGTTCAAGGATCTGAGAGTCATAAAATATGTTAACATTTTATATTATATTTTTATGTTTTCATATTTTCATTTTAGTTAAGGTTTTAGTAATTTTTTTTGTTTCATCATTTATTTTTTTTTTTTTTAATATGCATTTTGTGTGTCTTAGTTTTCAGTTTTAGTTTATTTAGTTTGTTATTTTAGTACTTCAACTTAAACTAAACAAAAGCTAGCAACTAGCTGAAATTAAATATTTTTGTTTGTAAATAAAAAAGTAAGTAGTTTATAAATAAAGTGTGCGTGTGTATATATATCATCAACATCACACACACACACACACACACACATATATATATATATATATATAATTATTATTACTATTATTATTATTATTATTAGTATTAATTTTTTTTTTATTCATTTATTTATTTTATTGTTTTAGTTAATGATTATAACCCAGTCATAGGGTGTCTCAATCTGTGTTGCTGTTCTCTTTTTGCATCCCGTTCTGGTGACCTTTAGATTGTGGTTTCACATCTAAACATCCATATCCAATTCTTCTCTTATTTCTGAATATTTAAATCATTGGCTACATTTACATGCACCCATATAATGCGATCAGCGCTGTACTGTGATTAAGCTGGAGTTCATGTAAATAGAATACTGTGATTGTTAATGTGATTATGCTCTTAATAACCACAGTAACATACTCACAGTAAAATATGTGCACTGTGGTTTTAATCACACTATTGGTGTTTTAATCGCATTTCTTACACAAGCCATGCAGATGGATGGTGTGCTTTGCTCACGGAGGGAGTAACACACATGCACTGTTGGCACGGCGCTGCAATTTATGTAGCTGTTTATTTTAGAAATGTCATCCCTCGTATTACCTATTACTGTAATATGTCATAGGATTTCATAGCAGCCGTTTTATAAGTGGTAATGGACGGCAAATGCGCCAGAAAAGAGAACTTGGACTAAATATTGTTCACATTTGTTTTAAGTATAAACTCAATTAATGTTGATGCAGTTTTCAGGCAACAGGCGACTTAATAAGTTGTTATTTTGCTTCTTGAAATAAAGGAATAGTTCACTCAAAAATGAAATTTTGTTGCTGATGTACTATTTCTCAGACTACCCAATATGTAGATAATTTTGTTTCTGAATGGGAACAGATGTGGAGAAATTTAGCATTACGTCACTTGCTCACCAATAGATCCTCTGCAGTGAATGGGTGCCGTCAGAATGAAAGTCCAACAGCTGATAAAAGCAGCACAATAATCCACAAGTAATCCACACGACTGTTCCCATGAAGAAACAAACTCATCTACATTTTCCAAATATATTTTCAGCAATGTTTCATTTTGGGGTGAGCTATTGCTTTAATTCAAAGAGAAAACTAATATTTCTTCAATGAAGCATAAATTCATTTTTTCAGAAAACATTAAAAAAAGAACAAGTAAGAACTATTTTTTTTTTTTGCAGTGCAACTGAATTACATACATCTACATTTGTCAGATGCTTTTGTTCAAAGTGACCCACACTGCATGCTGTATATTTGTTCAGTTCATGCATTCCCTGGGAATTGAACCCGTGACCCTAGCGTTGCTAGCGTCAGCAACACCAAGGTCATGGATTTGAATCCTGGAAAAATGCATGTTCTGATAAATTATACACCTTGAGTACAATGCAGATTGCTAGATACCAGCATCTGCCAAATGCATAAATGCAAATATATTTGCATTCACTTTTTTATGATGGATATTATTTGCACTTTTCCGTATGTGTTTCTCAATTATTATTTAAAAGCTGTACGTGGAAAAACTCCACTTTTGTATGGATGAATAAACATCACCGTCTAACCTCCACAGCCAAAGGTACTGAGGTTCCCTGAACAAACAAGCGTCTGTGTTGATTCGATTATTATTGTCATCACTCTCAGTTTGGAGGACGGTAAAAGCTGAAACGCTGACTCACGCTTGAATGTTTTGCTTTAATTAATATGATTGAAGGCAAATTAGTTTATGCTTCTTTTCATATCCCTCTGTTTTGCAAAATAACACGTCACAGCGGAACACTCAGAGACCAGAAAATCAATGAATACATATTTAAAAATCAATTTTCAGCCTTAACACGTTTGCGTTTATTCTATCCCTGTTCCACCCGCTGGTTAAATCAATGTTGTTTTACCCTCCTGAAGCAGCCGCGTCAGGCTGATGCTGCTGTCCTGCCTGCTGGAATAGATCGTGTTTCTTCCCTCCCTGCTGGATGTGCTTCCAGACAAAAACAGACGGATCTTGATCTATCAGAAGTAGTCTGGCATTTTCTGATCTTGAGAAGCATTTCGTACAAAGTGTTATCACCTCTTTTGCTTTTCATATGTATTTTTTGGGAACACAAGTTCATGCATTTCAAAAACCTGGCCTCTATGATGTTCTGGTGGATTTTTATACATTTTCCATAATGGGAAAAAAATCCAAAATGCATTTATATATAGTTTTTATTCAATTTTATTTCAGTTTTAGTTTTAGTTATTTTAGTGCATCTAGTTAAACTAAAAGAAAATGACAAATGCTGCCTTGGCAACTAGCTGAAATAAAATACGTTTTACATTGGGCTACATTATTTTACCATATTCTAAACAAATATGGTAAAATAAGCTCCATGACTACTGATGATGGGGCTGATTTTGTTTTTCTTGAATGCATGGAAAGAAGCAGCAAACACCTTGGAAATACCAGGTAAGGTTTACTTGTTACAACAGTTGAACAGGATCTGTTTCCAGGAATGGCTCAAAGGTGTGTTACTGTTCAAGTCTCTGTTTAGATCAGTGTGCTCAACAATGTGTCTTTGACCTTGACTGTGTATATTCTGATTATACTGTGTACAAATAATCAAAACCCCCATTATTTAAATCTCCTCACATTCTTTCTTACCTGCCTCACAGTCACAGTCACACTGATGGGCCATTAGGGGAGGTCCCTTTGTCTCTCAGGTGTGAATCACTAAATATTCATGGTCATTGTCACTCCCTCGCATACGGCCTTTCTAACACAAAAACTTTTGCAAGGCATGTTTTTTTTTTTTGTGGGCAGGATTATTTTCACATCATTTTATAGCAAAAACCCTAGTCTACCACATCCAGTTCTCACAAGTTTTGTGAACAAATGTTCTGTATAAGTTTTATGGCCTTTTTTTAACTAACCACGCATTAACGTTGTACATTCATGTTGCTTACGTATTATTGTAGCAAAGTTTGTGCTGAATACAGTCTAATCAGACTTTAGCCATTAATATGTTTTTAAGATACTGAAAAAAGCACAAATGTCAGGGCATGTCAAAACTTCTCCAGAGCCCAAAAACCCCCTCAGACCCCAGAGGGTCAATGTACTACCGTGTTTTAAATTCTGCAAATAGATAAGTCATAGGCTTGTTCCACTCTGGATATTCTCAGTAGTCCATCTCAAAATTGGGAAGATTGCGATTCAGATTGTGGATCGTGATTGTGTGTTATAAAATCGTGATATGATATTTTGGGAAGGTCGCCCACCCCTATATAAAGGCAAAGTATTTTAACATTGAACAATTGCACACCTCTATGGCATATGCAAAATTACATAAGCTTTAAGGATCAGCTCTTTCTTGTCTCTAGAATATTTCTCATAACCAAGGGCGTCTCACCATATAGTGATGGTAGCAAGGTGTTGATGGGGAAAAAAGTGGGAGAGAGATTGAATAGAGCAAAATTACATCAGCTTTAAGGATCAGCTCTTTCTTGTCTCTAGAATATTTCTCATAACCAAGGGCGTCTCACCATATAGTGATGGTAGCAAGGTGTTGATGGGGAAAAAAGTGGGAGAGAGATTGAAAGAGACCTTCAGAGAAAGCATTTCAGACGTTTCATCACAGCAGGTTCACTTCAGTCTTTCTGCGTGGAGTCACAATCATTTTGTGGGCTGGTGCCGCCGTCATCTCTGATAACACGACAAAGTGTACTCCTTGATGATGATGATAACTGGAACACAGAGAGGACATTTACTGGGAATCTCAGCGTGAAGCCACTGGTCCTCTGACTGATCCAGCGGGACTCGATGTCCAGAGCAATTTGGCCCTTGATGAGTGAGTCAGAGAACACTCCTCCTGTTGTCGAAATGGACCGATCGGTGGGGGCATGATGACTTTTTTTAAGCGTGATGATATCCAATTATGGGCTGGCGGAACATTTTGATCGGGTGTTAGGAATTAAACTGTGTTGAACTGGACACTTTCAGACTCTTACTTGAATTTGTACCTTTGACCGAAAGAAAAACTCATTCAGGAGAGCAGCGTGAGCTGTCTTCAGCAGATCAGACAATCACTTTTGTGACAAGAGTAATGTGGGGATGCCATGTCACTTTAATATGTACTGAATGGTGCTGATTATATTGATATTGATATTGATTATTTTGAACATGGTTCTACCCAGATATTTTGAATTTTTTTGGGATATTTTTGGAAGTACTTTTGCTGTACAATATAAACAACCTATAGATAATTTCAGTATGATGGTAAATATCATGGTATTACCACAGTACTTTTTGTAAGGGAAAAACAAAACTTACTAAAAAGAAACCATGGTACTTCTGTGGTGTTTTGGACATGTACCATAGTTGTTCCATGGTATTTTTGGAAATACTTTTCTGCCTCGTATGAATAATATGGCACATTAATTTTAGTACCATGGTAAATATTAAAGTACTGTGGTATTACCTGTTTTATTGCGGGTAATAAAAACAAACAAAAAATCATAT